CGTAAGAGCATGAAAACTGTGAGCAGGAGACGGACATTTAAGTTGTATTAGGTTTCCTGGACCTCGGGATCATGGTAATTGATGATTAGAGACACTGAGTGATAAGGTTGTGGAAAACAACCTTAGTTTTCCTGAATTCTCCATGTTCACACTGGCATAGCTTCCAGCACTCCAAATAGGTAGTCAAAACACTAAATAAAGATAGATGGCTACTGGTTTTATAAACTGTAGTGAACAATTAACGTTAGTAGATGGTGGGAAAACTCTTCAAAATTATTATATAATAACAGCGTCACATGGACGACCGATTAATGTTTCAAATTAAGATAAGAAATAAACATTCGCTTCTGACGTCATGGTTGCGATCAGCATGCGAAGATGACTAATATACAATTACAGAGCTGTGATATAAAGTGCGAATGCTCCATCGTTTCTCATCGTCTTGTCCCTCTCACCCTTGACCTAAAACGAGTAAATTCCCTCTGACCATCTGTGCGATCTGATTGGATCATTTTCCGTGATTTGCGGCACTTGGAATCCGTCATCCCAACTCAAGACTGTCTGATTACCGGCTTTTATTTTTTGTAATGCTCTTGTTGCCACGTCTAGTCCATCTGTTTGTGGATGGCACTCATGCTATAGAGTCGAAGTTCACTGGGCCTGCCGAAGACTCACGGTTATAAACAAGGTGTGGTTTCTCGTTCGGGTTAGCTGGGCAATCACCAGTTTCCTTGTTGCGGCTGAACCATCTGACCGATCCGTCGGGTGATTTTCGGAGGATAAGAATCCGATGCTGCTTAAGTGGTTGTAGAGAATCAGTTGTTGATCGATGCGCCACGTGCGAAATTCGGAATGGAAAATACTCAAGAGATGGCACCGGGCCAACGTTTGACTCGCATAAGATACACGAACTATTTTCGAAGCGGATTCGGTAAACAGATGAGCGTAACAAAACTTTAAACATGCACCCCTGGGCAACATGCTTTATGGTTGTCTGAAGATTTCGATTTGCACAATGCAACACTTTGAATATACCACATTCGTTCGTCTTTGTTCTTGGATGTCCCTTGCGTTTTCGATCGTGCACACTTCCAGCAGATTTGAATTTGTTTACCAGCACTTCGGCACCGTTTCGGACGATCCTCGTTGCACAGGTGTTGTTGAATTCCTTCACCGACAGTGAAATCCTCAGACGACCATAAAGCATGTTACCCAGGGGTGCATGTTTAAAGTTTTGTTACGCAAAAACTGTTTACTGTCTTTCTGTTTTTCTATGTTTATAATTGTACTTTTCCTTTTTTGTTTTATCGCGTCATAGTGTTATACGTCATTCGGTAGCGAACGCTTGATTTTGAGCGTATGCTGGCGTCATCTGACCTATTCGTAAGTCCGTTCTATTCTATCGAATATGTATTGATTGCCAATTACTGTAGAACCATAGCTTGCATAGAAATAAAGTACCTCAGCCCTCATTATGCCATTTAAGTCGGGAAGGGTCATGCGTAAGAATAGCTCTGACGTTTTCCAGCTTATCAACAAATTTGTTTCTACACATATCATGCAGTAAAAATTCGAAATAGATTGTGATTTTAGATGTTCTATTGAGATATGTTGTGAAACAACAACCGGTAAAGGTGCACAGTTTACTGTAGAGTGATCAGTAATGAAAGTAGAAAGACAGTAGGTTGAAACAGCTTTCGTTAATATCTACCTATTTTGGTCAGATGAACATGATTTCAAAATCAAGGAGATAAACAAGAGTGAGAGGTCTAAGTTTCACGGGAACTCGTTCGAAGGATTCAATCTCAGCTCTTCGTCTGTCAGCGGATCCGAAAACCAGAGACGATAAAGCCCTGATGTATTCAGCTGAGAATCTTCACGCAAAACCGTGGCTGCATGGGCAATTGGACGAGCCTGTGGATTCTCGGCTGGTCCATGTACCAGGTCTAGACCGCGTAGCACTGCTAGAGCACGATCTGGAGAGAACGACACACCAAATACCGGATCTGGCTTGCCTGGGAATGCGTGAGAAGCACCGGGTTCTCTCAGACCGGATGGCAATGTGACATAAAGTGGTGATGTACAATGTTTCGCAATCCACGATTCGGCACGGATCCCCAATTGAGCGAGATTGATGGGAGATCCAACTAGATACGATGCGAGACGAGGATAATTAGGTGAAGAAAAAATTGACATACGGGGTGCAGAGAAAAAACTGTTTGCGTTGTACGCAAAAACTTGCATTTTACGAACGATTGAAAAAAAACAATAATTCATGCTACTCAATTAATTTATCTAGATTGGCTATTTGGAGAAGATAAGCTGGCTTAATGAAGATCGTGAAGCACCCCAGGGGGTTTGGTATGTGCACGAGGTCTCCAGCATCACTCAGACTTTTCGAAGGTCGAGCACTAACTAATCTGTGCACATCCAATTGTAGACTGCAGGGGCAGCGATATGATTGCCGATGGCTCCCGAAAAGATCACTAGGCATTTGGCAGATGCCGATCAAACCCAAGGATCCACACATCCCCACTAGTTGGTTCGAATTTCTTTATTGTCATTGAATCAGACAGTAGATCTCGTCCGCCCACTCGGGAGTAGCGGTATTCGCATAAGGCAAACCGTCTCCCAAAGGTTTTTCTGTCCCTCGGTTGCCCTAAACCAAGTTTGGGTCTCCTGTTGAGCGGTTTACCGGGATGAGGTTGCGGATGTATGCCTCAGTTCCTTGGGGCCACACAAGTGAGCGCTTGGTAAATGATAGGGACCAAATAGATGACACAGGCTTTAGGGGGCACGACAATCTACCTACCATCTCAAAGGTGCGCCAGCTATCAAAAATCCCTTACGATGCAAAGCGCTCCAATGAACCGATCTCAAAGAGATAATAGCTGGCAAGAACTTAAGCCGTGAATAAGAACACGCAAACCCGAATGACTGAATCGGACTCATTTGGGAAACTAACGGATCATTAGCAACGGTTGATGCAGCATAAAAGGTGGACAACAATCACAGATAATTCACCGGGTAAATAGGCAGGCAGATTCCCGGCGACTCGGATTTCGGTAAAAACATCAGCTTCTGAAGCAGTCTTTCCCCTGGCAATTTACTGACATTATTTACAGAGTTTGATAACTGAACGAAGCGCACACGAGCTAATCATGCCCCAGGATACCTGGAGGTTTAAGGCCGGTGCAATCGTTAGCGAAACTGGAGAAGGAAATAGGGGAACAAAGATGCGTGTGTTTGTGGGGTTATCTAACCTCACGCCTTATCTGGCTGTTAATGTGTGAATAGAGAACCGGTCATAATCTTACTGAATGCACTATTTGTGGAGCGAAGCAGGCGCTGATCAATGCAGCAGGAATAAGACGTTTTTAACTTCGCATAACTTTTCGTTTCCTATACCCGGGCATCCATTTTTGCAGAACCTTCCATCCAACCACGCATCAGCATCAACTTAACCATTTTTTCAAATGCACGAGCACCGGAGTCAATCCTATATCAACGTACAGGCAGGTTTCTCAGGACGACGCAAAACACAATGGAAGATGATTACTTGAACCTGCACATGCACGCATGGAATACGAAGCCGATCGATAACTTACTGAGTGAACTTCGGAAAAGAACTTGACATGTGGCAGAGAAAGAGAAACACAGGCTATTTAAAAAAAATCAGGTGACGAAATTCATTCAGTTAGCCCCTCCCCAACCACTGCCTATTCCCTTCCAAACAGAGGGAAAATCAATATAGGAAGGTATGTGACACATGTGAAGGGTTAAATAAGAACCAATTTTAACTCACGCTCAGAGGGACGCAAAAGAAGCGCATAAGTCAGCAGGGTTGACTTGAAAGCCTCTTCAAAAGCCTGTTTGAACAAACTGTTCAACGTTTCCGTATCCGAATTAAGTCCACAATCGTAGTACTGTGGTTAGACAAGCAGATAGAGGAAAAAAACAGTAGTGTAACGGCATTAAAACTGTACAAGCCCAGATAAGCGGCAAGGTCACGAAAGAATTCTAATTGCTATTGTCAAGGAGCACCCGGACGCTTAAAATTGCACCATTCTGGAACAACCAATCCAGTCAAACAATCGCTTCGTGTATGGATTTCCTATAAATAGCCGTGCTTTTTGGCACAATAAGTGAATTCCCACACGCTTCCAGCTGTGTTCTATTTCACCGCCAGCGGACTCGCTATCTGGACGAGAACTGTTGTCGAAAGATGGTCATTTGTGAGTCCCCCGTATCGAGACAATTCCGTGTGGTCGTAAAGGTGACTCCTATCTCTGGTTTGCAGTGAAATTCGGCCATGATAGCCGCAAACAAATCAGCAGAACTAGGCTGAGGGACAATACCAGCTAGATCAAATGCCTGCAACCTGACCGGTTGTCGTTATAGTTCGTGTTCACCAGCTTCAAATGTGCCACCTCGGATTTTGCCTGGGTGTTTTTCAGAATCGGTCACCGAAATCGTCGTGGTTGGATTCAATAGAAAAAATCCCCCTTACCCAATCGTTACGACCACACGGAATTGTCTCGATACGGGGGACTCACAAATGACCATCTTTCGACAACAGTTCTCGTCCAGATAGCGAGTCCGCTGGCGGTGAAATAGAACACAGCTGGAAGCGTGTGGGAATTCACTTATTGTGCCAAAAAAGCACGGCTATTTATGGGAAATCCATACACGAAGCGATTGTTTGACTGGATTGTTGTCAACCACCTAGATTGTTCATCGAACCATCCCAACTACGCACCGATGTGTGAGCGACATGAATCCAATGGGACCATGAAATTTCACTGTCTTTCTCGTTGTCCTGGGATTTGTCATTTGCCATGCGGAGTTTAAAGCCATCTCGCTGATTTGCAAACTGTAAATTTATGGCACTGCCTGGTTGGAAAAGATATACACATACGTGAAAAAGTAAAAGTCGAATAACATCTGCAAAACTGGATAATTTAGCCACGAGAAGTGGTCTAGTCAACGATAATTACTTGGGCTTACCACCGCCGTCCGCTCCATTATCACGTGTAGGAAAATCACGAGACAGAGATGAAGCGAGCAAAGAATTAGTGCTGTGCGAACGCTCGTCATATCCAACTCCGTCAGATCAGTTCATCCACAAGAGATTAACTCATATCTCAGGAAATTCAGTCAGGACTGAAAAGAAGCTTTTGCTGTCGTGTGTGTGGAAACCAGTAACTACATAGTGTCTAGGAGAGGGGTGTGCCGTGTTTATTATTTGTTCTGTTTCTGTACGCTGTTAACCACGTCGTTCCTTTTGTTTTTCAGCCCATG